TAATGCATTTTCTGTATCAACTCATTACATTTAATAAAATTAATTTTTTTTAGGTGACAAAGTTAGACTTAAACATTAAATCATTACATTTAATAAAATTAATTTTTTTAGGTGGCAAAGTTAGACTTAAACATTGAACTCAATCGATAAAAATATATTTACTAATAAGTAAATGTAACCGAAATGGGGTAATCTTATTGTTTATGATGAATAGAGGTTGGTTGAAACCTATGGTCTAGAGATCCCTTTACAACCAAAAGGTGATGAAGTTGATAATTGAGAAGTCCAATCTTAAGTGGATTGGAGGCCACCGGTATCATACCAAATGCATTGTATACCTTGTGGTTCGGATGGGCAATTAATAAAATCAAAGTTCCCTCTGAGAAAGAAGACAGCAGATTCCAGACATTCCCTGTCTTCATCCCTGATGGCTGCCCATGATTTAACTTATATATAGCATATTATTCTGTTGGAGGAAAACCCTCCTTGTATAAACACTAGTATTTACTGCACTTTGTTGAATCTTTAAGCTATCAATTCCTGGATTTGCACCTGATTTTATGTCAAACAATACATGCTATGACGTTACATTGTCTTGCTTCCATTCATTCCTTGGTTCTTACCTATCTGCAAAACCGGGCAAACCATTACCTATATTGCCTTTGTTGCAAGCAAACACAATAATCAATTAAGCTTCAAATAACAACACAAGGATGAAAAGTTGAAGCAAGACTTCAAATACTAAATCTTCTTAAGATTACAAATTCAAACTTGAAAACTCCACGACAAGAACTTCAACCCACCCCTTTGGGTATGTTTGTTTAGTGATAATGGCTATTATTTTTTAATAAAACCAAAAAAAAAAAAAAGGAGTAAAACTGAGAAGGAAGTTAAGATAGGAATAACTAAACCTTAATGTCTTCTTTATTCTTCATTCATTCGATACTTTAATAGAAAATTATCAACGTTAGGGCTTATCTATTTTTATAAATTGACTAAAGAATAGCTATTATCACTAACCAAACATGAGCTTTTATTATTAGATTAAAAGCATCAATCATCTTCTTCTATGTTCATTTGCCACTTTACTTTTCTTCTTGAAGCAAAAAATGTGAATGCAATGGGATATGCCTGTGCTAAAGGCATGATTTCACAGGTTCCCAAGTTGACAATGAGGTAAAGAGAGTTTGGCTTCAAACATAGCTGAGACTTATATGGAGGAAGCCTCTAGACAGCAACATTGTGTGATGACAACTAGGTATTTGAAATTATGTCCTTTATTAACCAAACAACTTAAGAAATCAATTAAAAAGCAAACAGAAAAAAAAAAAAAAAAAATACAAAAACAAACATTAAGCAATCATCCTTACGCATTGAAGTTCCCCTGCATTTATGGTCTTATAGCACATAAGGTATGGCTGTCACAATAATCTATTGTGTTTACCTTTTTTGTCATCAACTATGCCATTCGCTGAGTTTGTTTATCATCAAAATTTCCAGTCTAGGAATGCAAGATATCTTCAGAAATTCACAACATTAATCTATTCCTCCTTATTTCTTCTTGGTTTCTCTCCTTTTTTCATCTAGTCACGCGCATTTTCCTCCCTGTAGTGGTTACAACTTCCAAATGCTTACAAGAAGTTTAAGTTGCCCTATTTACAAGAAAAATCCACAAGCTCTTGGACTTTTAGCTTAAACTAATTCAAAGGTAAAAGAAGGCAAAGGACAAACATAGAGAATTCTTTTTAAGACCACAAAAATCATGTATGCTATAGATATTCAACAGTAACTGTTACAATTGAAAAGGTAACCATATAGTGGTAGCAAGCGGTGAAAATATAGCTATAAGATTACAACACATTTAGGTAACTGAGGGAATATTACTACCTTTAGAGAACGCATATTATTTTCCATATGGATACAACACGTGGGGGATAAATACAGGTAAGGTACAAATATAAATAAAATAAACCGAGGGAATATTAGCACCTCAAATTAAGTTGCCAGCATAAGTTTGGAGAAAAAGTGTCCTTGAAGGCACCCACACAGTACCAAATGTTGGTATCATGAGTCCAAGAACTATCTGCCTTCATTGGTCATCAACTGTGAAAACACTTGGCTACTAGTCATGTCTGAGCTATCACTACGAGCAAGATTCCCTATCCTATGACTGGTAGATGGCGTGATGCCAGGGGTAGCATGCTCTGTCCCATTTGTATCATTGTCTAAATGTGATTCTTGTTGCCCTGATTCTTGAAGCTGAAGTGTATACTCCAAGTTCCATAAGACATCACCCATAGATGGCCTGTCAACACCATAGTCAGCTAAACATTTCTCAGCTGTTTCCCCAAATTTCTTCAAAGAGCTTGGGTTTATTTGCCCAACAAGATGGGGGTCAATAATTTTCTCTAGCATACCCTTCTTTTGCCATTGCATTGCCCATTCTGCTAAATTCACCTGTTCTCTGGCAAGCAATGGATCAACAGCAGGTCTGGCACAGAGAACCTCTAAAAGAACAACCGCAAATGAATAAACATCCGATTTATCTGTAAGCTGCTGCCTCCGGAAATACTCAGGATCAAGATACCCAAAGCTACCTTTGACACCAGTGCTTACATGGGTCTCATCAAGTCGTGGGCCAGATCTTGAAAGACCAAAATCAGCTACTTTGGCCCCATAATTCTCATCGAGCAAGATATTGGTAGATTTAATGTCACGATGGATAATACCTTGTGCTGAGCCAGTATGAAGGTAGTGCAGACCCCTTGCTGCACCAATGCATATTTCCAGCCTCTGCTTCCATGACAATGGAGGATATTTTGAACCGTATAAATGACTTTTCAATGGCCCTTTTTCCATGTACTCATAAACCAGTATCATCTCTGACTGTTCTTCACAATACCCAACAAGCGAAACAAGATGTCGATGACGAATCTTTGACAGGACAGTTATCTCAGTTTGAAATTCTGGAAGGCCCTGCCTTGATCCTGGGATACCTCTTTTTACAGCAACCTTAGTATTGTCTCTGAGAACTCCTTTGTAAACCATACCAAATCCACCCATGCCAATAATCAAAGCCTTGTCAAAATTGTTCGTTCCTGACTGTATGTCAGTAAAAGGGATCCTCAAGCTGTGATATCCATTTGGACCTGTAGATGTATGAACTGTCCCTTCAGTCGTTCTGCTATGTGAACTGCCCCCATACACACGTAAAGCTGTCCAACCAATGCTTTCTGCAGGCCCTGGTTTTCGTTTCTCCTTCTTGCATCTCAGTGCTAGCAGAACAGCAGCAGCAGCAGCAGCCAAGCATAAGACAATAAAGCCTCCAAGAACTGAACCCACCACAATCCAGACATTTTTCTTCTTAGACACAGCATTTGAAACTTGAGGATTTACCATCTTCATTATCTCTACCCCATTTAAAATAGCATTAACTTTCATAGGAGAGCTCAAAGATGAAGGTCCAACACTTATACCCATAAACCCTGAATCATCTGAATCCGCAACAAAATCTATGAATACCGGGGCTGAAAGAACATGGAATGTAAGTGATGACAAATCAAGATCCCTGTAAGCTGAGTACTGATTGATATACACATCGAAGTACAGCTGACCAATTGCAGGACTAACAATATCACAAAAATGCAACCGAACCAAGTGTCGAGCACCTTTTGAACCCACTGGAAACTGCCAAGTGATATTAAACCTTGAATTCACTGGCATATTATCCCTGTTCATCTGCTGTGCAGTCATATAAACATTATCCGGTGCAATTTCGCGCGTTGCACCACCACTCAGGTAATTTGGCACCTGAGTGGAGACTGCACGCTTTGCAGCCGGTTTCAAGACAAGAAAATCATCATCCGGTATCCAAGTTCTCCACAAAGTATCATTGACAGGGGTCAATTTTGAACCCCCAACATTGATTCTTCGAACGGTCTCTAAAACCTGTGATGAAAGATTATTGTACTCCTCATTTCCATGAGCACTCACCAACAAAACTCCCTCATCAATGATAAAATCTTTAGGAGCTGAGAAAACTTCTATTGCATTAACAAACCCAAAACCAGATTCCTCCACAGGACAGAAAACAATGTTAAGCTCTCCAAGGTCTAAATTCATCACATACTCTTTAATCACCACAGCGTTGGTGCTAAAACCACTCAATACCAAGAACCCATTGACAGAAACATCAAACTTGCCAGATTCTAGCTTATAATTCTGAGCTGAAAATGGCGAGAAATGGAAACGTACCAAGTGGGTGCCGTTTCTCTTGATGTCAAACTTATATCTCGACTCACCGGTGAAAACCCTCGCCGTCCGGTACAAAGTGGGTGAATCCGGAGATGGGTTCTGGTCAGTAAGCGAAACAGATCGGTCCCCGGAGAGAAAACCCGAAGCGAGCTTACTCGAATCACCGATGAAAACTCGGTCTAAGAGAGAAGCATTGATGGTGGATCCACAACTGAGGAGGTAATTTTCCGCCGGAGTGAAAGAAAAAGAGAAACGGAAAAGGGAAAAGAGGAATACCCAGAAAAACAGAGACTTGCCGACGTCCATGAAAAGTGACATTTTCAGAGTGCTTGAAGAATCAAGAGAGAAAGATTGAAACTTTATGAAAAGGAAACAAATTCATGATGGAAAAGGATCGAAGAAGAGAGGACAAATTCGAACTGTGGAGAAATAGAGTCACTCAGACCGTTTAAGAGTCTGGAATTGGTCAAGAGTGAGGTTGAATATGAACCATTGACATTGCTATAAAGTGCTATAAAGTGCTCACGGTGGAGGATAAGAATTGGGTCCAGTTGAGTATGGGGAAATCGCCACCAAATCCTGTGCAGTTGGTGTTAGGATAGGACATGAGAATCCGCTGTTTTGGGTCATTATCGATGGGAAAGTTGGGGAGGAGTGGATTTCAGATAATTTCTTCCATTTTCTCCTGAAAGGAACAATTTCGTGAGTAAATTCTACTGCTCCTGAAAGATATTGCAACTTCGACTGATATTTTTAATAATTTAGGCGGAAAATAACATTTTAACATTAAAATAATGCTTACGTTCTTACAGATATTTAACTTTAACGTCTGGGTTTTTTTTTTCTTCCCTAATATCTCAATTAATATTATGTGAAAAAATTCATACCATAAAATAGAAAATTTTTAACAATATGTGAAAAAATTCATACCATAAAATAGAAAATTTTTAACAATATGTGAAAAAATATGCATAATTCACACGGTAACATCCTTAAGACTCAATTAGTTTAGTTATAAATTTTTTTAATAAAAATAAAAAATTTTAAAAGTTTGAGTTATATTATGGATGTAAATGGAATAAATTAAAGAATTGCCCAATAAGAATGGTACTAAATGGAAGACAACTCCTCATCATTTGTGTTTTGCATTACAAAAACACTATACTCTAAAAATATATTGAGATCTAGAAAAGTTTAGCATACAAAATTTTCCATTCCATGTGCATTGCGTTTAAGGTAATATTGGTGCATTGAATCTTTAAAATTCACAAGCATGATGTTCACACTCATTGAAAATTAAGACCTATTTTGTATATTAGATTTTTCAAAATGTATTTATCTAATATGTACTTTTTAGTATACATGATAAAAAAAAATTGCTTCAATATATTAATATATTTTTAAAGTTTAATGTTTGTCTTAAATATGATGTAAGAATATACCCATAAAATAATTTAAAGATGAATTAGTATTAAAGTATGTGAAACTTAACCCAAAAATATCTAAGTATAAATACTTTAAAGGGTTTTTCTAATCTATACCTTAAAAACATAAATTAAGAAAATAATTAATGCATTTTATGGTTATTAAATTACATAGAAAAATAAAATTAACTTTTAATGTTAATAACTAACAAATAAAATTAAAATACATGATATTGATGTTAAATTAATATTATTTTTTTATATTTTAATATAAATTAATAATTAAAAAATATTAATTATACTTTTAATTTGTATTATAAAAATACAATTTATAAAAATCTTACTTTTAAAATATGAAAATAAAGAGCCATTCTTGTTTTCTTCCCTCATGTCAAAGGAGAAGGTAGGAAAGAAATTACGCAAACATATCAATCAAATTGCTTGTGGTTGTAGGTAGCACAGATATTACCTTCCAATTTGATTAGGATTTAAGATTATTTTCAGATCACAAGATATTAATGTAGTAGTGCTTGCCAGCGGTATAATGGACCGCAAAAGCAAGTAAACTCCGATTTTTTCATCACCATAATGTGGCGTGGGTCCATAATTAGGAAAGAAAGGGATGCCATTTGGTGCTTTGGTCCAATGTTTTAGAAGCATTTGTTGTGCACTAGAGCACTAAATTGAGGTGGTGGCCAGCGGTGGGAGGGTGGGCCGTATTCGTTGAAATTTGAGGAAGTCGGTCCACGTTACCATCTTTTTCTGATTTCACTTAGTAGTTCACGAACAAATGTCAAAACCCAGGTGCTCAAATCATTCATGATTTGAACTGAACGTGAAAATTAAATAAATAAAATAAACATTATTCGCGAGATTTGAATCAACGTTAACGGTTCATTTACGAAACTTTTAAGAATATTATTTTTTAATTTTATATAATATTATAAATTTATAATTATAATATATTATTAAACAAATAAATTTTTAATCCAACCTCGATGATTTACTAGTCACTCCCTTGAAAGGATGAGGTTGTATATGATAACTTGTGTTCTATTCCTCGAATTTTCACTCCTCTTTCTCTTAAATTTTCCCTTGTTTAAATAAATAAATTTTTAAATAAAAATTATATATTAATATATTATATTAAACATATATAATATTATATAATATTATATAATATTATAAATATATTATTTACACAAAACTTTTCATTTAAGATTGTTATACTATGTCACCTGATTCTTCGAGCTAATTGATAATCTGTCAATTTGAGATACATTTTTTCTTCTTCATGAACGAACCCCTTAACAACTCATTTAAAAAAACAAAAGATTATTGTATACTATGGCATCTAAATCTTGTAGTCTAATGATTATACGTTTGCTTGTAAAGAGTATCTTCAATTTTAATATTACGATTCGAATTCATCTCCTCAAAAAATTATAATATGTTTAAAAAAAAAGATTGTTGTATTGTGATTAAAAAAAATTTTCTTGTATTATATTATGATTGCGACTCTACTGGGCTAACGCGTCTTGTGTTGCTGTCAAAAGTTGTTTACTTTAATTAGAATGCAACTAATATGATTATGGCACCCAACTTGGAAATCTAATTATTTATAAATTTTTACAAAAAGTGTATCTCTAACTTGAAATGTTGGATTCGTGTTTTCTTATCTAAATTTACTTAAGCATACGCTGAGGAATAATTATTATCTAATAATTATTATTGTTATCATAAAAAATTAACTTTTATTTTAATAGTAATGGTTAGATATTAGCTTTTTATTGATTCATTTTAGATTAAAAATTAAATTTTTAATTCAAAATTTCACATTTTCAAGGAAAAAAGTTACAGTAATTACTTAATAATTATACTTTTTATCTTATTCCTTTAAACAAACTTTATGATTATTGGGTTTATCTAACCCCTGTAGTCGTTAGGGCAAAATTTGTATTAGAAAAATACAAAAAGATTTTCTATTCTATACTATAAAAATTTGCATTTGTTAAGGATGTATTTCTTGAATATTTTTATAGGAGTAATTAATTAGCATGAAAAATATTGATGATGATTTTAATTTATCAATAGCCAATTAAAATTATTTATGAGGTAATATTGTTAAAATTAAAATTAATTTTTATATTTTTTTATGTAAATTAATTATAAAATGATATATTTATGATGTTTCTAACTTATATCTTTAAACAAACTAAAACACAAAAGTAAACTTCATTTTCATATTTTTAACTCTAATAACATATTTGTGATTTTAATGATAAAATTAAAGTTAATGTCCCATAAGGGACATTGTAATGAATAAAAATTTTAATCTCTATCATAAAAATTTTAAATTTGAATTTTGAAAAGAAGTTTGAGAAAAAAATTGTTATTTTTTATTGTATAATTCATCATTTTATATATTAAAAAAATAAAATTAAAATCAATTTGTAATTTTTGTGTAATAATTAATGGTGAGTTCGCATTTCTATTCTTTTCTTTTCTTTTAAAACGAAAGAGTTTATACAAAATGACGTCAATTTATCGTCAAAATGATGTTACAAATACTATGAACGAGGAAAAGAAAAGGGTACAAAGACGCTGTCGTTTTTCTGCCCAGATTCAAAAGGACGACTCTAACCTCTAATATGTTATGCAACGAACGCTGCCGTTTTGCCAGGTCGGCCTTCTTTTCCCTACTGTTTTATAGCCACGGTGAAAACGCTTTGCCGGTGCCGGTGAAATCATCAACCGACGTAAAAGCTTTAGTCTGTAACTGTTCCAATCCAAACGAAAATCCATTCATTCTCTACTTTCTTTTTATTTTTTTTCAATTTTCTGATTACTTAACTCGGGTTTTGTTTCGTTTCCCTAACTGGAATAACGGTTGACTTTATCCATATAGAAAATTCAAATTCTTGGATGCAAATTAGTGTCCTTTAGCCCCATGGATTCCCCTTTCTCGTATTTTGGAAGCTGTGATTTTCTGTGATCTAATTAATGGTTAAAATTACATTTAACACCACTTGAAATGGGGGTTATCATGTTTGTATTTTGTAACTTTGATGCTCTTCTACAAACTACAACTATGCATTTGAAAACTTTTCGTTTGTGCTGTGTGCTTGTTTTTTATTTCTATGACTTTTTGGAGCCGGTGACAATACCACGCATACATTTCATAAAAAATTCAGAAAGTTCTTGTTCTCATGTAGCTCTTAATGTCCTCGTAAAACCTTCAGGAGAACGCTTGCGGATTGAAAATCTCAGTCCTTTTGCAGTTTATGACTATATGGTATGTTAGTACACTATGTAGAAGGCATATATCTTTGTTTAAATATTGTAAACTTCATTTGTATCAAAATTGGATTGAGTGTTTGATTGAATTCTCTGCTATATGTGTTGGATTCGGTTGTGATCTTTAGCTTCATATTGTATGTTCATGGACTCTAGCGCTTTAATAGTTTTTCTTCCCTTTTTTTTTTTTTTTTTTTTTTTTTTGTGAATTAGGGGGAATTTTTGGAAAGAAGAAAAAATATTACAATTGCCTTTGATAGGAACTTTAAACCTTAACATAAAGTAAGGTATTTGATGCACGTGAACAGCTCATCAAAACTGCCAGTGCAAGGTTATTACATTATATTTCTAAAAAAAAAAACCGTTCTGACAATTTAAATTTGATATTGGAGTATGAGTTTAGTTCCCTTTACAATAAAAAATGGTCAACACAAAACAAATAATAAAAAATGCATACATTTGGCAATTGCTATACGCCAATGTATGCAGGTTTCCGTTTCTCTCTAGGAGGTAGTTAGGCAACCCCAAAACCATTATGATTGACTTGGGTACTCTTTAAGAATGAAAAATGATTCTTGCTGCTTTGATTTATAGATATTTGTTGATAATAATGTTTTGTAATTAACTATTATGTTTTTAAAAAATTATTATTTTTTATTTTAAATTAATTGTTATTTCTTTTATAATAATCAAAGAGAAAAGTGTTTATTTGTCAAAATTTTAAAAAAATTAG